GGTAATTGTGTAGAAAAGCCTTTAGTTAGTGGAATATTTATCCGCTGTTGAGGATTTCTGGAAACTTAATGGAAGAGGTGTTATGCTATTGACTATTTTTTTCTTCCCTCACTACAGCCAGGGTCACTCCCTAGAGTGCTCCTTTCTAGTCTTGGCCTTTTGTCTGAAGTTGGTCTGCTCAACTTTTCGTGCTCCTTCATGGTAACATGGCTGATGATGTCTTCATCTGAGCTCATGCTGGGGCATGGAATTGTCTCTTTTATGCTACTATGATGCTTTTTGCCTGATAGCTGCTCAGCTCTGGAAACGGGGAATAGCCTCTGCTGCTCACCTGCCTGTGTGCCCAGGTGGGACATCCCATGCCACAAACCTGGTTTTAACTGTGCAGTCCTTGCACAAGGAGTTATGAGGCAGGACATGAGAAGCAAGTGGATCTTACCTGGCTCTGGTGTTTCTGACCCAGGAAATCTGTTCCCAGCATGATTTGGCAGCAAGGACTGGGAAGTGAGGGAAGTGTAGGCCCCTGGTCTGCTGTAGTGAGCTGTCTGGAAAACGCTGTGTAAAGCACACTGCTCCTTGCTAAGAAGATACGGGAAATGTGCTTATTGAAGAGTTGTCTGTTCTTACCGTGTGTTGGGGGTACTGACTGGGGCCTAGACACCCGGTGGGTTAGTGTGGTACAGACGCCTAGTTCTGGACTGTCACAGCACAGCTAGTCTTGTAAAGATGTGGGGTCACGCCTGGATCTGAGGTGCAGCTTCCCTGCAGAAGAAAATGGTCAAAGCTGTGTGCTTTTGCCTGAACTTTGTTCTGTAGGGGACCTAGAAGAGTGGCTGTAGCAAGCTGGGGGAAAGGAGAAGGCTCTAAACCAGATGTGGGCCCAGTGCCCAACAGTTACTTAGTTGGAGTGGATAATGACAGTTTCAGGTGCTGGGGGCCGCCAAGTGCCTGGGCACATGGATGCCTGGAGAAAGGGGAGAATGGAACTTCTGGAGCTTGGGGCTTGGAGTGCAGTGAAGAATGTGCCTTCAGGCTCAGTGGTCTGTGTGTGGGGAGCTGTGGCAGGTGGGATGAGGCTGTGCTGGAGAAGGGATTTGACTAAATGCACACCTACCTGATCTGGAGCCCCCAGCTTCCAGCAGCACCACAAACTGCAGGGTTTGATCTGTACCTTAGCGTCAGGTGAACATAGAATCATGGAGTCCCAGACTGGTTTGGGTTGGAAGGGACCTCAAAACTCATCCAGTTCCAACCTCCACCACGGGCAGGGACACCTTCCACTAGAGCAGGTTGCTCCAAGCCCCGTCCAAGCTGGCCTTGAACACTGCCAGGGATGGGGCAGGCACAGCTTCTCTGGGCACCCTGTGCCAGGGCCTCAGCACCCTCACAGGGAAGAACTTCCTCCTAATGTCTAATCATGTTGCCTGATGTTTAAAGGCTGGGGTGGCCTTGCTGTGTCGGGGAACTGGGAAGCTTTGGAGGCAATACTGAGACAACAGGAGCACTGTGAAGCCAGGAGAGGGAGCAGTTTGTTGACTGACACCATCAGATATCTCAGACCTCTGTGGCAAAGCGAATTGCTGGGCCCAGGGCAGAGGGCCTGGAAACCTGTGTCCTGGGTGGCTTGTGAGGGAAGAAGGACGTTTTGTCAAGGTTTGATGTGCCCACTGCCTGCTGAGCTTTGGGCTGCAGATCTCAAAGCTGGCTCTGTTGAGATGGAGGTCTGCCTCAGAGCTCACTGCAAACCTTGTGGAGAATGTACCCACAGCGGGGCTGTAATTGTTGTGTTCCTGGACCATAATGACATGGGGGAAAGAAGAGTGGCACCTGTAAGGAGTACATGAGATGTTACGGCTGGTGACTCCCAGATCTTCTTTCTCCTAGGTGTTAGGTCTGCAGGAGGAGGGAGTGGGAGCGTTGGTCTCCTCAGCTGGCGGGTGCCCCTCGTTGGACTCCTGGCTCAGCAATGGGATGCTTGTTAGAAAGCAGGAATCAAGAGGGAGCCCTGGGCCGAGCTGTCTGCTGGCAGAACCGTGCTGAGCTCTGTGCCCTTGCACCAGAGGATAATTTGCCTCCCAGTGGTGGAGGGCTGAGCAAATGCTCCCCACAGAAGGGAAACAGTTGGCTCAGTCGGCCCCCTGCCCTTTCCTTGCTCCTTAAGGAAGGAGCAAACCCCACTGAGGATGGGATCAGTGGCACAGAGGTGGAGTTGTGTGGAGTTATTTTCAGAGCTCGGAATACCTCTGTGGCAGCAGAGCAGGAGAGGAAGGTGGGTGTGACTGAGTTTCGGATTTCCCTTCTGCTGTGGCTCTGCCAAGCCCATGAGCTACTGCCATCCCAGCATATACAAGTGTGAGCTGGAAAAGGGACGGTGGTGTCCCATCCTCACCCTGCCTCAGGGGCCAGACAGTCTCCTTTGGGGAAGGGAGAGCCTCTGCAGGGCTGTTCTTTGACAAAACTCCCAGTCTTTTTGGCAAAAGACTTTCAGGTATAAATGCAGTCAAAGAGGTGGCTAAGCAAAAGGCAATGCAGTGGTCCCTTCTTCAGCAGAGCAGCGATTGCTTTGGGGTTTGGCTTGAGTTGAGAGGGTTGTGGCTGTTGCATGGTTGTAATGGGCCTGTGAAGGCACCTGCCCGGAGCAGGTAAAGCCACATTCAGCTTTGCTTTTATTTCTTGGTGCCTGCTTCAGTTTGGAAGCTCCTTGCACAGCAGGGCTGGTGCCTGCAGCCTGCCCAGCAGCTCTCAGCACAGCGTGTGTGCTGCAGGGAGCTGCCCCAGCTGCCTGGGAGCAGCAAGAGATAGGCCTGTCCCTGCAGTGCTTCACAAGTGAGAAGTAAGGCAAGCTGCTCCTTTCACAGCTTCTGAAGAGCCTGTGGGGCTTGGTAGCTGCTGGGCTTGTGCCCAGTGCTCCTGTGGGCTCAGGTTGAAAGGCCCGTCATGGGCTGGGCTTGTCCCCTCCCTGTGTCTCCTGGTCTGATCTTTCTCTCCCTTGCTTGTGGTGTCCTGTGGTGCTGGGTGGCATGGAGAAGGCCCTGGCAGGAGGGCGAGAAGAGCTGGGTGTGAGGGAAGAGAGGCTGAGCCCTGCTCTGCCTGTGTGACTTTGACTAAGCCCTGGTCCTGCAGTGTGGGGGTACTGTAGGATGTTTCTGTCCTCAGTATCGTGGTGACTTAGATGTTTTTTAGCTGCCAGTGGAGACACGAGGCCAAGGCAGTTAGGGTGAAGGCAGTGCCAGCCCCAGGAGCGACTGTCGAACCATTCTGTAAGTGCAGAGTTCTCAGTGCCCGTGACATCTGTCCCCTTTCTTGTTTAAAGTGAGACGTGGTACCTTGCGGAATTGGGCCTGAACCTCCGTCCCGAATGCACCCATCTTTGTGTGCACTGTCTCCTGGCAGTCACAGCCTCGGCTGCTGCCCTGCTCGTGTCAGAGATTCCCCCCGAACTGGGAGTAACTTCTTGAATGTTCTGAAATTTACACAAAGGGTTGCAGCTGCTGGGTTAAATGGTTTCCTAGTGTGAAGGGAAAAGAAAACCTTGGGTTGGCTATTAGGGGAAATTCCTTCCCAGAAAGGGCTGTCAAGCCCTGAACAGGCTGCCCAAGGCTGTGGTGGAGTCACCATCCCTGGGGGCATTCAAATGATGCGGTGCTCCAGGGTTTAGTGGTGGACTTGGCAGTGCTGGGTGCGAAGGAGCTGGTGTTCGGGGGAGCCTGAGCTGGGATGGGGGGCAGTGAGTGAGCGGCTGCATGGGTCTGACTTAGCGTCTGGCCTTAAAGCACAACACTGGCTTAGACTTGATCGTAAGGGTCTTTTCCCAGCTAAATGACTCTTTGAGTCTCTGAAATGACATCCAGGTGCCAGAACAAAAGAGGTTAAAAGGGAGCTGCAAAGTCAGGATCCAGAGAGCAGATGCCGGGAGAGGCAGGTGGGAAGGGACAGTAGTAGTGTAAGGACTGAAGGCAGGAGGCACAGTTGTGAATGGTGGCATGTGGAGCGGGGGAGCCTCCAGCAGACCCTTGAAGGGAGCTTGGGCTGTCTCAGTGTCGGCTGGCAGTTGAAGGTTATCAAAGAAATAGCAGGAAGCTCTACTACTGGTCTCCTATTAATTATCTCAGCTGTGGTAGAGCTTTTGTCACAGGTTTCCTTTCCTTAGAGAGCTTCTGTCTTGGTGCCTTCAGCACACAAGGGTGCCACACCTGAGGTGTCTTTGCCTGAGCTCTCCAGTTTCCACCTGGATTCGTGGCTGGACACGTTCATGCAGGACATGTTTTGGAGTGTTTCCAGAGGCTGGCTGCCTGGAGAGCCAGTTAGCACTCGGGGCTCCTATCCTCCCTGAGTGGGTTGTAAAGCCCCAGCTGGTGCGTGTTGGTTTCAAACTGAGGGCTCCACGTTCCCCGCCAAGCCGATGTGAGGATTTGCTTTGCGTGTGGCCGAGAGTCTCACGGATAGCTTTTGTTTCTGGGAAACGCTGTGCGGCAAACGTGTGAAGCTCCTGGCAGCTGAGATGCCCCGGGAAGTTGGGTGGCCTTGGCTGGTGCGTGTGCCCGTGTGCGCAGGCTTAATGGGTCCAAAGTCATCGATGGGTGCTCAGCGGGGCCAGCGAAGTCGGAATGAAATCGTTGCTTTGTAGTTAGTGTGGAGGCTTTTTTCTTTCCTCCTGAAGCAGAGAAATGATTGGCTCCTCTGCAGTGTATAAACCAAGTGATCTGACGCTGACGGAGCGTGAAGAAATGCTGCTGTGAGGTGCACTTGAATCCTGCTGCAGGCCTTCACTGCGGGGAGACCTTGAAGGCGTAGGGGGGCGCTGCAGGGATCTGCGAGGCTGTAACTTTAGCAAGGCCCTGCAGTGGCCGTGGAAGCAAGCCAGCAGAGGAGAGACAAGGCGGCCGAGAGTGATAGCGAGAGAGCTGGAGGCAGGAAGCACGGTCCCCACTCCAGGCTGGAGCTGGAGAAATGCCAGAGCCACAAGTGGTGGCGGCCTTGGTGTGGAAGCGGTGCGGGGGGGTGAGCACCTTCTTGACAGGGCGTGTGGAGCTCGCCTATTGTGAGGTAGAGGGGAGCTGCTGCTGTTAAATGCGAGCAGCAGCCGTGGCGCAGTCAGAGCAGGAGTTGCTCAGGCGCTGAGACAGGAGCAGGCTTGAGCTACTGTGAGGCTCTGAGCTCTGCTTCCTCGAGGCGCTGGTGAAAGCCTGCCCTACGTGGCAAAGGCAGAGCATTGAGGAGAGGGGCTGGGCAGCCCAGGTCCACGCCCTGTCCTTTGCTGCCCAGGTTCCCCTGGCTGTTGGCAGCCCAGCAGCAGTTACCTGCTGTGCTGGTGGGCAACAGCCACCCCGAGGCGTCCCTGGGCAGCTCCTGTCCCTCCAGCTGCCCACAGCTGCCGAGCAGCGCGAGGGCATTCAGGAGCCAAGGCTGGGCCCTGCCCGGAGGAATCCTCCAGGAGAAGCGTGAATCACCCGTCCTCAGGTAGCGTCTGGCCCTGGGCAGCAGGGAGGAGGCGGCTCCGTTGGCAGCAGGGATGGGGCAGTTGTGTGATAGCCGGCAGGATTTAAACGTCCCTGGGCTAAGAGCAGCGCTGGGCAGGTAGAAGGGCTTGGAGGGGCTCTGCAATTGCCGTGCAGCTTGCAGTGATGGTAGAGACTTGGAGCTAGGCTGTAGGTCCTGCAGCAAAGGGAGCCTTGGCTGTCTGAGTTGGGGAGCAGGGAGCCACGGTGGGGGGGGGGGGTGCTGGAGGGGTGCTGTGTCCTGGTTGCTGCTTTGTCCTGCCCCTGCACGGAGATGTGCCCCGTTGCTCCGTTGTGCTCCTTTCCTGCTCCTCTGGGAGGCTGGTCCCTGCGGGCTCTGGGGCTGTGGAAGAGCCTTGCTCCAGGGCTCGGGGGGAAGCTGCTGGGCTGGCTGGGGTGTGGAGGTTGGAAGCCCTCTGGAAATAAGCGTTGTGGGGGTGACGACAGGTTTCCTTTCAAGTGAAGTGAAATCACAGTTTGGAGAATTGGAACGAATGAGCCCGTTACTCTCAAGACCCGGTAAGAAACCACTCAAATCCAGATCAATGTTGGATCATCCCCGTTAGGTTTCTCCCCTGAAAAGGAGTTATTTCCGCCTCTAAATCCCAGCTCTTGCTGCAGCAGGGCCTCCTGTCCATAGGGCGGTGCAGAGCTATGCAGGTGTTTCTTGCAAGAACAAAAGGGAAGGGTAGCCTTGTTTCCTGAAGCTGGGAAGGGCCCAGCACCACAAACACGTGCAGTGCTGTAGCTGCCTTGGGAGTAAAGGAATGAGGTGATTGCATTGCCTTGCAGGGCGTGGGGAACAGTGGAGGGGCAGGGAATGGCCATCTTTGCCTAGATGCTGTCTTGCTGTGTGTGCGCAGTAAGTGCACGCAAGAGAGGTGATGTGGAACACAGGGAAGCGGGAGGGAATATCATCCTGGCTTTTACTTAGATTTGAGCTAATTGCTCATGTGCCTTTGATGGTTTCCTGCTTTTTTCCTGCTGTGACAGCCTGGAATGCCTGTAGGAAGCCTCGAGTTTGGGTGTTAACAAGCGGAAATGAGGGCGTCCTTTGACACGGAGAAATGCTCTTGGGCAGTGGGGTGATTTCATGCCTGGAAGGAGGCGTTTTTTGCCAGATAACCTTTGTACCTTCAAGCAGGCAAAGTAGCCTTGAGAAACTCTAGTTCTTAATCAGGGTCTTGAGCTGTGTGCTGCGTTAGTTAGAAACACGAGCAGGCTCCTTGCAGAAAGGGTGAGAAGTGCCAGCAGCCCCTGGAGTGTCTTTGTGGGAGTGCCCCCAGAGCAAAAAGCTGTTTTGGCTCAGGGGCTGTTTGTTGTGGGGTTTTCCGTCTATGACTGGAGCCTAAATATGGTCTAATGATGAGTGAGGGTGGGGAGGCCCCGTGTTCTCTGCTTAGGAAGGATGCCAGAGGCTGGAGACACAGCTGTGTCCTTTGGGTGTGCCAGGAATGGCGAGGCCCTGGCACAGGTTGCCCAGAGAAGCTGTGGCTGCCCCATCCCTGGCAATGTTCAAGAGCAGGTTGGACACAGGGGCTTGGAGCAAGCTGGTCTAGTGGAAGGTGTCCCTGCCCGTGGCAGGGGGTTGGAACTGGGTGAGTTTTAAGGGCCCTTCCCTAAGGTTGCAGGGTTCCACGGGTCCAGGGTTTTAAGGTTCTGGGGTTGTGGATTGTCCAACTGTTGCTTCTTCCAGGTGACCTCTGCGACATGGCCAGTGGCAAGACCCCACGGCCCCTGAGGTCCTCCAGAAGGGCGGATGGATTCCAGAGCAGAGTGGTAGCATCTCGTAATCCAAAGGTGGTCAGAGAGGCAGAAGAGTCTCTCAGCAGCAAGCAGAGGCTGGCCAGCCCTCGGGAGATGAGGCGGCGCCGGCCTCTCCAGCTTCGGGATGTGGGTGAAGTCTCCCATCAAAAGGTAGCCTTTCCCTGCCCTTTTCCTTGCTGTTTGATGTGACATTTGAAGAGGGCACGTGCTTGGGGCAGGCTTGCCTCCGGCTCACCCGAGCAGCTTGGTGATTAGGTCCTGTTGTCATTTCCAACTGGTGGTGGTGGAGTTCTTTCTGCTGGGGGAAAAGCAAACCATGTTTCTCCAGTGAGCCATTGAAGTCCTTATCTGCACGAAGCCAGTGGAAGCTCTCCTGCAGTTGGTGGGTTTTGCTGGAGTTGAGCTACCGTCGCTAAAGCATGCTAGTGGGGGAGGGCTGGGGCAGGAGACAAGGGCAGGAGCTGCTGTTCCTCATCCTGCTCTTCAAACAGCCACCTCTTGCTTTGGTGTAGTCAAGTGCCACGTGCTTGGGGTGACAGGGCTCCCTCAATGGTGGCAGTAGTGGCCTTTGAAGGCTGAGGGCCTGTGGCGATTACTTAAGCCGTAACAAACCCAATTGCATTAATGCTTTGGTTTGTAAGAAGGCGTGGAACCCTTCCAGGGTGTTTGAGTTTTCAGTCTGCTGGCTACCCAGGGGAATCGCCCTGGGCAGAGGAGAGTGGATGTGCTTTACCTGGCTCAGTGCTCTCTTAGATGGATGTTTAAAGCTGCTTTTCTTGCAGGACTGCTCCTTCTAACACACAGTCCAGGTGGGTGCATGACTGAGGTAGGCTGTTAAGCAGAAAGTTGCCAGCAAGAGACCTGTATCACATCAGTTAAGGGTTGCCCCAGACAGCGCACGAGGTGGGAACACGTAAGACGGGCGCCCAAATGACTGGCAGTGCTACAGCTACTGGCCTCAGCCTGACCGTGGAGAAGCAGGAGGCCTGCCTGTGTCTCTCGAGTGGCAGCAGTGCAGCTGGGAGAGGGGAGAGCAAGCAGGGAGGAATTATCTGCAAGTAATGCCTCTGCTGGGTCAGCGTTTGGTCTTTGTGTGTATTTTTTCAGAGCTGCTTCTGCAGCAGTATTAAATAAACCAGCAGTAATAGAATACAGAGAAGCATGAACTTCAAGCTCACGGGGAAAGGGGATACGAATTACAGTCTAGCTCCAGTTGCCCAGTAATGCTGGGGAAAGAGCTGAACTTCATCCCCATCCAGCATTCACCTCATTTGTCTGTTTCCCGACTGCCCTGTTACTTTCTTGTTGGCCTTTCCTCCCTGGTACTGGTGTCTAGCAACTGGTTTCTGGGCTCTACATCAAAAAAAAGATACTTGGGATGCGTGGGACTCAGTCTTGCTGCGTCAGGGGGAAGTTCACCGCAAATTGTTTCCTGTGGAGGCCCATGGAAACTCGTGGGTTTTGCTTGCTCCCCGAGTGCTCGTGGCCGTTCCAGGAAGTGTCTGGAGCTGAGTGAGCACCTTAGCAGAGGGCTCTGCTGGAGGTGAGCGCTGCTTTGCCTTTTGGAGAAGGCAACGTGGAGAAACAGCCTCCAAAAGAGCTTCTTAGCTTGAGGCTGCTCAAGCTGGTCCAGAAAGCTTTGCTCAGCTGAGAGCAGAGGTGGGTGAGCTGCCATCTCCTAGTGTGAGCTGGGCAGATGTACTCGCCAAGAGATTGTATTTACCGGAGATCAGTGTGGGATCTTCATTCGTTAATGTTTCTGCCAGCAGCTGAAGCTCTCTCTGCTCTGTCTTGCGTCTGCAGTTGTCAGCAGTTGACGTGGACCAGAGGTTGTTCCAGCCTTTCCCATCCGAGGTGGTGTTTGAGAACTACGTTCCCCAGCAGTTCTACATAGCGGCGCTAGCTCTGAGGAACACGGACAGGGTAAGTGCTGGGCTGTGGAGGTTGAGCACTGGGCTGGAGGAGGAGAGCAGTGGAATTCACACGGTGTGCAGCAGAGCAAGTTACCTGCTGCAGCACAGCGCATGCAGAATCCAGTGTCTCACCAGCGTTATTCTGCAAGATGGGGGAAATGTTCCCGTGCTGGGGATTCTGCCGCTGGTTTTGGCCGTGCACTGGTGGTATCTAAGCTAAAGGAGTTTTTTGAGCCAGCGTGCTTGCCCTTGAAAGCCCTGCTCTGATGGGAATGTCGAGGGCTGTGCACTTCTTGCCTGCTGTCATGCTTTACCTCGAGTGCGCAGCGTATCCCGCTGGCTCCTTGGTTAACGGTGGTTTCTGGCAGGGCATGTTTCCCTCTCTCAGCCTGTTCAGCCACGTGTGTGCAGCTCCCTGTCAAAGCACAGGGGCTGAGTCTTCTCCACTTTGTGCTGGAGTAAGTTGTAACTGCTGGCATTAGCACTCCAGGCTGGGTGTTTCGGAAGAGCAGTGGAAAGAGGCTGGCTTAGCAGGAGCAGTTAAAGGGGAGGACTTGAGGTGCCACTTGAGGCTCCCGCTAAGCTTCGCTCAGTTCTGCTCAGGTGTTTCTAAGCCAGCGTGGCTGTGCTTTCTCTTTGGAGAATCCCAGCACGGGCAGGGTAATGTGCTCCAGAAGGTCTCCAACTTGAGCTGGAAAGATTGTGATCCTTTGGAGATGTCCTGAGAAACTTGAGCAGGGAAAAGTTGAGAAATGTCAGCAATTTTGTTCTGCTCTGCTGTAAAGGGGGAAATGGAGAGCTTTTGAATTTCAGTTGGGGAAACATTTGCTCCAGAGAGGCATGTGCCAAGAGCAAGCTGGTGGGAAAAGACAGGAGGGAGGAAAGGGGCTGAGTTGAGTGTCCTGTCCCGGAGCACTTTCTTCCACACAGGGATTCTCTCGGTACGTAACAGGAAGTGTGCTGGAAGCAGAGAAAGGTCAGAAGCAGGCGTAATTCAAGCTCCTGTTGCGTAAGAAAGAGCAAGATGTGTGCGTGAGAGGAGGGCACGGGGGAGGTGGAAGTGTGCAGGTGAATTAACCCCCTCCTCAAATCCCCCTGTTGGGAGAAACAAAGAGGGGGACAAAAGGAGTGACACTGTCAGGGCTTAATGTAGGGGGAGGAAGAGCAAGAGAAGTCAAAGTTATCTCCTGAGAGAACAGGTTTTACAGGGACGTGGTGGAGCATGGAAGACCCTTTGGCAAGAAAGGATGAAGGTATGGTCGCTCAGTTACCCCCAGAGAGTTGTGTATCGTTCCTGGTATAGCTTGGGAATACTGGGAAGTTGCAGCGTGGATACCTATGCCCAAGGGACACCAGTGGTGTGTTTCACAGTGACTTTGGGCAATCTTTGCTGTAGGTGTAGCCTTTGCTTATTAAAATGGGCCTCAGTTTCTCTTTTCCTACTGCTCTGCTTCATTCCCACTGTGTCTTTTGGCTTCAGCTGCTCCCTCATCCATGCAGCACCGCAGAATGTTTGCCTTTGCCAAGTAGCAGCGAAGAGGCAAGCAGTGAATTTGCTCTATTCGTGCTTCCCAAGTGGAAAACAACATCTGCACTGATGTTGGTGCCATTCCCCATAAAACGTAATAGGCGGGTACAGCTGCAGCTTGGGATTTCTATGCCCTGTGAAGGGGAGGCAGCGTGTGAACTGTTGATTTTAGCCCAAATGTATTAGTTGTGAAGCTAGTACGACCTCAGGCATTGGACGGCCCTGGTGTAAAAGGAAGATCAGCCCTAAGGAAAAGCCTTGTCATCTTTAAGTGCGCAAAGCTAGAGATGATAATGCCAAGAGAGCGTATCATGTTCTAATTTTGCTGGGTTTTGGTCATGTCCTGGAGAAAAGGACCATTGCGCTCTGTCTCAGAAGTTCCCCAGACTCCTCTGAGTCCTACTGATGTATCCTGCCTGGTAGCTGAGGTTGTCTGCTCCCTAGAACTGCAGCTAGCAGCAAAGTGTAGGAGAGGCAAAGTGTAATGGAGCCCAGTAGGTGCTCTGTAATCACTCCAGTACGGAAGTGCTTCGCTCTCTGCTTAGTGCTCTTGCCTACTTGCTGTGGAATTGCTTTCTTGTCTTCAGGCTGCTCCTCCCCACCCTCAAGAGGTGTCCTGGGTGGCTCCTGCTGAAGATCTTTGCCAGCTGGGCTCACGTGCCAAGCGATTTGGCGACCGGAACGTGTGGCTGCAGTGGGAAATGGGCTCCTGGAGCTGTCTGCCCCAGGGCATTGCTGGGAGCAAAGGGTGTTTAGAGCGTCCCGGGCTGCCTTGGCCATGGGTTATGAGGCTTGGGTCGGGGGTGCAGAATGAGCCTCCCTTTTTTCCAAGCCTCGTGTGTTCATCAGTGGAGCTGCCTGTCATTCAAAGTCTCCTTGTTATACTTTCTGAGCTGGGATTGGGTGCTGGGGGGTTGCTGCCTGTGTGCTAGAGAATGCCTGTTTGCTGTCCCCGTGCCTGTGGTATCGCAGAGGACAGACACTTGCAGCAGGATGCCTGCAGGAAAGGCTGGCTATGAGGCGGGATACCCAGAAATGTGGCTCTCCTGCATTGGCAGAGGCCTGGCTGCAGTCCCCAGGCAGCAAGAGCCTCCAGAGAGCTCAGGGTGGCTTTCGGTGATGAAGCCACCACAGTGTGAGGCAGTGCTGGCCACGTATCTCAAAGCAGAAAGCGCCTTTGAGGACCATCATTGGTAGGCACGGCCTGTGGGGGTTCATACAGGCACGTTGGGTGCTGTCATCTCTGCCCCAGCCTTTCCTTGTGTTATGGATCTCCCTTGCTGCTTTGCAGCCCCCTTTAAATTCTCTTTGCCATCTGCTTCCTCCTGGGGATGGTTGCTCTTCTGTCTTCCTGTGCTCGTCCTTTTGCTCTTGAGGTAAGCTTTTATTCTCAGGAAGGCCAGAGTGTTTGTGGTCTCCTTCTCTTGCTGGTCCACCCCCATGAGTAGCACCGCAGCTTGACCACCGCACTCCACGCTGGTGTGTCAGAAGTGACTTCCTTCCCCCCCCCCGTATAACACACGCTGGGTTGCCTTCAGATAATACATTCTGCCTCCAGAGGCATGATTGCACGGGTGTGTGCAGGCAGAAGCAAGCATGTTCTCTGGGCTTGTTGAATGACTTGAGGTACTGCATCTCCTTCCTGCTTCCTTCAGAGCAGGGCATGTTGTTCCTACGGCCTCTGTCCTGCAGCTATGTAGCTAAGCAGAAGGGATTCAAGTCCACCCTTGTGCGTTACGCAGAGCTAAAAGTGTTTTGGAAAGGTGGTAAGGAAGGATGGCACGTGGCCCGTCCTGGTCCCTTCTCATGTTTCCACAAGCGACAAAATCATAGTTCTGTGTCTTTCCTGCAGGTTCCTCGTCTGCTGAACGTCATCCTGGGGAACTCTCCTTACTTCGAGTTGATCAGCCCGAGTGATGAGGACTATAAGGTAGCACCGGGCATGTCTTCAACCTACCGCATCCTTTTCAGACCTGATGAGAACAAGGTGAGACTGAAGGTCTGGAGAGATGGCGCCTTGAGGGGAAGGGAAACCTGCAGGGCTGGATTGCAAAGCAGGCATCTGGTGTGGGTTTTGAAGAACTGGTGCTGGGTTCAGTAGGGTTGCACTGGATCTAGACGTGGGGGAGACTCTGTCCTGGTGGTGAAGGTTGTGCTCCTGTAGGCTGGAGGCTCTTGCCAGTTTCAGGCTGTTTTCTCCTTCCGTGGTGGAATATCTAAGGTAATGTCTGTTGGCTTCAGGGCTGAGAGTCTGCTGTCTGTGCATGGCCTTTTACTCATCTTCTGTTTGCTGCTTAAATGTAGTTGAATACTCTGTGCGATCCTCAAGCAGCGTGCCTATAGAAAACTAAAGAGGACCTGCCCCATGGTCCCTGGCTGCCCCTGCTTGTGCAATAATGTGTCATGAAAGGCCATGAAGGTAAAAAGTGCGAGCGCATTATGGAATGCTACTGTGAGAGTCCCAGAAAGCAGCAGCTCTTCTTCTGCCATGGGCATGGTGCTAAACGCACTGTGCTGAGATTGTTTCTTTCCCTGCAGGATTATTTCGACGAGCTTATCATCATCACAGAGAGGGAGAAGTTCTTTGTGCCTATCCGAGCCATAGGTGCCCGAGCCAGCCTGGACTTCCCTGAGCAGCTGAACTTCTCCAACTGTCCAGTCAGGTTCAGCACCCAGAAAACTCTGCTGGTGCGCAACGTGGGGAATCGGGAGGCTTGCTACAGCATCACCACTCTGAGGTAAAGGAGCTCATGTCTTGTGCAGACGCTGTTGCGTGGTCATGGAGTTGTAAACAGTGAGAAAAAGGAGGCAGAGCATCTGAGGTGCTGGACATGGGCAGGACCCGTGGGGTTTGCCATTGCTTACAGTATTTTGAGAAAGCTCTGCAAGCAAGTTTTACAGTGCAGTGGTGTCTCCAAGGCAGCATCTTGCAGGTCTGATGCTGTTAGATTGGAAGAGCCAAGGCAGGAAGGCAGCTTGACTGCTGAAGAAGGTGCTGCGTGGCAGAGGACAGCTCGAGGGGCTCAGGTCACGGAGGCCAAACGCAGCATCAAGAAATGGGCGAGCAATGAGCTGGTGAGAGGCACTGAAGAGTTCATCAGCAGCTGTGTCTACATTAGCAAGCAGAGATCATAGATGAAAGCAATTGCTATGGAGGCCCTGGCAATACGAGTGTGTGGTGCGGGGACTTTGTTTTCCCGTGGGCTTGGTCTGATGCCTGGGACCAAATATGCCTAAGCAGAAGGAGCTCTGAAGTGGAGAGGAGCAGGCAGTGCCTTCAGAACTGGACTACAGCCCAAACGAGAAAGCTAGGGAGGACGCAGGTGAAAGATACTCCAAGACCTGCTATTTGCAATGCACTTGCCAACTACTCTGTTGGGTGCTAGAGCGTGTGTCGAGAGCTCCTTGACAAGGGTTTTAAGAGTTCCCCAACTTCAGCAATGAACTATTTCAGTCCCGATTTGCAATAAAGAAATGGGAAGCATTACAGAAGTTTGAAGTGAACTCCACAAAAAAGTGGAATTCTGAGTAACTGGATTGCACGTGTGCAGAGGTGGAGAGCTGAGAACTGAGAACTGGGTGCAGAGTATGGGGGCCTGAGGTCATGTTATGCCCCGGGATCTTCTGAGGTCTGGTTCTCTTCAGCAGGGAGAGTCACCCGCTCTGTTTCTGATCCTGGATGTTCTGGTTTTGTTGTACCGACGGTGGTTTGCTTGCTCCTTGCTTGCACAAGTGAGCTGAAGTGAGCTGGACTGCAAAATTAACGGGGGGCCCAGATCTCCCGTACAGTCCTGATCTCTCTCTTTGCCTTGCAGCCCGTTCTCTGTGGATCCCTCCATTGGGACTCTTGGCGTTGGAGAAGCGATGCAAGTCACGGTGGAATTTCACCCGCCAAAGACCGGTGTTTATTCCAGTCCCATGATAGTTCACTATGACACAGGTAAGTGCGTGGTGCACTCTCTGTGTGTCCTTCCAAACAGGGCGGTGTCTGCGCTGTCTGTCATCATCTGATGGCTTCATTGTCCGTTGAATCCCTTCTGCAAGGCTCCTTCACGCTGGGTAGAGCAAAGCTTCCATGCTGGCTGCCAGATATTCCTGTGCTGGACTATTTCAGCCTGTAACAAGGCAGGCAGATCTTCCTAAGCACGGTGCACAGGGGGCGACGGCGAATATTCTGAGTGCTCCATTGCAGAAGGATGCATAGCAAGGAGCCTGATTGAAAAGGAGATGGCTTTTAACGTGCAGGAGAGCTGTATGAAGAGCCTGCAACCTGTCCCGTAGAGCTCTCCTGACTGGTCATTGCTTTTCATCCCGATCTGTTGTGTTACAGTTCCTGGCAAGGCCTTTGAGGTAGAGACCCTCTTCTTGTGATGTGCCACGTGGGTGCAGTGGGTGCTGTGCTGAGAGCTGGGCCATGCTGAGGACTTGTGACCGTGAGGAGCAGTAACTGTGGCAGCGGTAGCCATTAGGGTGCTCTGAGCTTTGCTGTAGCCTGGGAATGATTCTGTAGAAACCCCCATGTTAGCAGCAGTTATTTAATGGTGGGGTTTATGAACAAGCTGCTGCTAGGGCTGGAGTCAGTAATGTGAGGGGGGTAATGATGTCTGAAGGTAGGTTGTGAAGACCACCTTGGAGAAACACTTTGAAATGGCTGTGCTGCTGTGCGTGTTGCTCTGGTGCTGGAAGTCTCCAGCTTTCCAGAGGACACTTACCCTAGTGAAGGGACTCACTTCTCCAGTGGTGAAGTGGTAACAGCAGCACGTTTGACAAGGAAGGACGTGCTGGCAGTGGTGAGGCACTCGGCTGTGAGAGTAGCAGGAGCAAAAGAAGGAGTTGGCAGGTGGATCTGAGGGCCCAGTAGCACCCTTTTGAGTGCAGAGCTCAGCACAGAAGCTGCTCTGTGCTTTCCATTGTTCCTTCTTCCCTTCTCCATTTCATTTCAAATGCTCCCGCTCGGGTTCTGAGATGAGAGCTATGCCCAATCTTTCAGGACCAGGAGATGAGGATGAGACGACACGGGGGGCATCTCCTGCCTGCAGGAGAGCGTGGGCAAGGGTTGACTGAGGTGAGGGTCCTCAGCGTCACTGAGTGACTTGGATGTAGAATTCCCTGTGAGCTGAGTGGGATGGCGGGCCAAAGGCAGCCGGGCAGAAGTGAAAAGTCTCACTGTAAATGCTGTCACCTTGGGGATAAACCTCCACGAACACCCCCCCAGAATAAGGTGCCTAAGGTGGTGCCAGGACATCCTCATGCTGTACCGTGTGCACCTGTCAGGATATGATGTATGTCCAGGTGCGGGGAACTGCTGGTGCAGCTCAAAGCTGCGGCTCTTTCTTCCGTTGCCTGCAGATTGCTCTGTTCCTTGTACTTCCATCAGCAAGTGAGATGAGCTGAGTCTTGCCTTTGCTTTGTTCCAGGTGAAGATGTTCACAAAAGCCTTTGTGGAAGAGCTGTAAATGTCAACATCAGGCTTGACAAGAGCTCCTTGACGGTTGAGAAGACTTCCGTCACGCTGTCAAACCAAAGATGCGTGGTCATCCACAATCAGAGTGCCATCACGGCTCACTTCCAGTGGAAGCGTTCTGTTGATCAGGAAGAGGAGGAGCGGCAGAAGCTGAGGTTTGTTTGAGAGATTCACCTCAGAAAGATAGATGCCCCAGGGGAAAACTAACACACAGCCTCAGAGGGCTGTTGGGGCTTTTGAACGGATTAGGGCCCATGAAGCCATGCACAGCGTGGAGCTTAACCCTTGCCATTCCAGTGCCACCCGTGCTACAGCTGAGGATGATGTTCTGGGGAGAGAAGGTTGATTGCAATCCCTGGATTGCCTCAGAGGGCAAATTCACATTTGGGAGCCGCAAACTATTGAGTTCAGAGCTCCGTGCACTACGGAGGGTCCGTGAGGCTGAGGAAGGTGTCGGCACTCGGTACCTGGGACTGCACTGAGCAGTAGCACTGAAGAGCTGCAGGTGGCACAACTATTGTGATAGTCAAGCAGTTTCTTCTTTGATAAGCTGGCAGGCTCCTTTTGCAGTCACACGCAGGGTAGAGGGCTTAGTTGGGCCAGAAGGTGGAGGCCGACCTGCTGTAGGCTGGGGAATTGCCTTTCAGTGTCCTGGTTTGTGGCCCCTCCTCCCAGTGCAGGAGGCTTTTTCTTGAGGGCTGCCAGCTTTAAGAAACCTCTTGTTAGCTTGTCACTGAGGAGTAAAAGGCCCTGCTGTGCTGGGAAGAGAGGACGAGAGGAGGGAGGAGCCTGTGTTGGGATGTGAGCCCAAAAGACATGGCTCATTAGAAGGTGTCCCTCCTGCAGCACTTTTGGGGATGTAATTATAGCCTGCTGATGGAGCTTGAGTTGAGGGCTGCTCATCCCAGTGTGCGGAAGCCCTCGTCATGCACAGCAGCCCCGTGCAGAGCTGCTGCTCTTCCTCCCTCCCCAAGTGCTTTGCTGCTCATGCACTGACACGACAGGCTCTGCAAATGTGCTGCTTCTTCAGTTATCTGTTTGGCAAGGCTCAACGTAGGGTTTGCATTCAGATATGCTGGTCCTGACTTCTTTACTGGGTGATGCTGGGCAAAGACCCTTCCTCTCTTGGCACCTCTGTTTTCATGCACAGAAACCCATTCATGTCACTGAAGAGATGGGATTCCCAAATCCATTGATTTGCTTTGGAAGTGCACCGGGATCCTCTGGTGGAAGGCAGTGCAGATACTGTCTCCTCATCCCTGTGGCTGCAAAATGGAAGGGGGAAAGTGTGATGCTGGTAACGTGCAGCTGAAACCCAGTTCCTCTCCCAGTCCTTTTTCAGGGCACAGGCTTGTCAGAGGCAGCTGTGCTGGGAACGAGGAATAATGGGATCAAGCTGGTTGCTGATGCTGCTCTTCCTCCCTAAGGCTTTGCTGCTCGTGCACTGACACGGGCTCTGCAAATGGTGCGCCTCCCATGGCACAGGCTGCAGAGGCAGAACAGCTTCCCCTTCCCATCTGCACCTCCCAGAACCAGGGGACAGAGGTGCAGGGAGACTCCGTGCCTTTCTGCAATGATATTTTCACCATTGTGCCCATGGTGAGTGATGGCTGAGAACCTCCCTTCCTGCTCCTCCTCCTTGTCATCTCTGAATGAGGTCCCTTGGCAGATCCCACGTCAGCTGCTTGATGTGCCAAGAGAGGAGACCTCAGGTTTCTGGTGAGGCTGGGGGCGCTTGTTGCAAAAAGCCTTTCTGAACAGCAGCAAGAGCCGCCCCCAGGCTGGGCTCTGCTGCAAGGGCTGTGAATTAAGGGCACTTTGTGAGTGTCTTCACAGTGGCCAGAGGTTATCAGTTATTCTCTGTAAGGACACGTTTCCACGTAGCGCATGGGGCTGAAGAAAGGGCACTGGTGCACTGTTAGTTCACATACTGACCTGCAGAATGAAATGGTCCCCTGTGGAAAGGAGCCCCCATTGAGCCCAGGTTTAATCACGGGAACAGCAATCCCTTCCTAAAACCTGGATGTATACCGCATCTGAGTCTCCCTTCCAGTGTCGTCTGTGAGCGTGGACACGAGGCTCTCAGGTTTAAACAGGCTTTTTGAGTTCTACCGCAGATAGGTAGAGAAAAGTGCTCCCTTTCCTGGTGATGCAAGCAAAACGCCCATGTCCTTCAATCAGCCAGAGCCGTCGTTCTGAATAGTTGCATGGTCTGGGATGAAGAATGCCTGCTGTCTGAGCAGTGCAACATCCCTTCTCATCTTGGAGTAAAGCCTGGAATAATCCCAACCTCTTCTTTCTTTTACAGTGGGTGAAACTAGTTTATTTGTTTTATTTTGTTTTCCGAGGAAGGGGCTGCTGTTCTCTTCTCGGTTGCTCCTGCAGCCCATGTAAGGCTGAGAGCCACCAGCGTGTCAGAGCAGCAAGGATATCGGGGAGAGTGGGAGCTGCTGAGCTGAGCATTCAGAGCATCCTGTGGTGTGTCAGAGCTGGTTCTGGAGTGTGCCCCAGGGCTCCTGCTTCATTACGGTCACTGTGTCTCCACAATGAGCTTCACCTGCTCTTGAGCTCCTGAGGTGCTTTAAGGGGAGCTCTGGAATTCTGGCTGAGTCCTGTCCACATCAAGATGTGATGATGTAGAGACATGAAGCCCCAAGCTGGGAGTGGAAACCTTTCCTAAATGGCCGTGTTTCTGTTACACAATTTGCTCTAGGGCTGAATCAAAGCAGGCTCCTACACGAGTCTCTCCCCTGCTGTCTTGTGCAGTGTTATCAGTCTCTTGATTTCCATGAATTCCATTATTTATGGAACAGTCCTTTCCCCATTGAGAGTCTCGCTGGTGTCTGCCTTCCCCCTGGCATGTGAGTGTCTTTACTCCAATTGACAGTAGTTTCTCCTCTTTTACACACGTAGAATCTGAAAATCCCCTGCCACTGACTTCCACAACGTGTTGTCTGTCAATGGCCCTGTAACTTTGAGCTTGGACCAGTACCCTTCTTGCACTGCCCTTGAATCTGCTGGGGAGGGCCCCCCAGAGGTGGGACCTTGCTGCCTCGGACCTCCTGGCCAGAAGCGGCTGCTCTCTGGTTGGCACCTATTGCCCATGGTTTCTGGGAGCACCCTCTAGAAATCATCAAACCCTGGTGACAAGGGACTGGAGGAAGTGATTGCTTGCAGAGGTTAGGAAACTGGTGGAGGGATAGTGGTGTTGAAAGTGCGTTCTGGGCAGGATGGCTTTGCAGGGCTTGTGCAGAAGCTTTGCTAAGTGTAGCATCAGCTGCCTGTATTTCAGGTGTTGCTATCTGCAGAAGCTGCAGCAGGTCACTTCAGCGTGTCTAGGGTTAAGTCCCGGCTGCAGATCAGAACAGGAGAGAGGAGGCAGTGCCTTGGGACTTGCCATGTGACCAGGAACATTTGGAGCAGCTTCCAGGCCCGTGGGGAAGGAGCTGTTGTGCAGCTCTGACTTTCCGAGCACATCTCACGTTGTATTTAATTTCTTTCTGCAAATACCCACGAGATGTCAGCAGAAGCAGCTGTGGTGGAAGCTCAGGTGGCTACCACAGGCCAAAGTCCTTGCTTTGTGCTGCATCCTCCCCACCACAGCTTAGCTGTAAGTAGTCACATTGCGACACGTGGGAGCTGACTCCTTGGAAATGGAAACCGGAGGAAAGGGAGGACAAGGATTTATTACCATGGCACTGACCTTGGCAAGCCACCATGCCCTGGGATTGCCTGTCAGTGACTCCCCAGTGCCATGTGCTAACTTTGAGCTGGTGGAGGTGGTCTTCCAGACGTCCAGGTTGCGAAACTGGTGCTGTTGTTGATCCAGAGGCTGGGCCAGGAGGTAGCGGCGTTGTTGGCTCCTGCAGATCTCCACCTCAGCTAGGAGCCCAGCCGGTCCCCATCCAAACGAGAGGATCCTGCAGAGCCCTTCAGGTTTTGGCAAAGGCCCCATTTTCAGTGGGAGCTGAGAGTTCAGTCATTTATGGAAAGAGGCAGATGTTGGCTTTGGCACTGCCTTTCTCGTGAGTGCCCTGAGCTAACAGGATGAGCTCTGGATGTCATTTCGGTACTGCCTTTGACCAGCACTGTCTTTGGGTTTTGTCTGCTGTGAGCACTGGCTTGGTTTCCGTGGCTCACCTTCCACCTCTGCAAAGCAAAGCAAAGCAAGTGACTTGGCCAACCCCAGCTGGTGGTGGGCAGCTTTTCAAGGCCAGCTTCTTCTACGCAGCCTGGTGGGAGTCTCGCAGATTCTCACCATTTAGGGGCTGAGGAAGGAGCAATAGGATCTGTGTGTATTTAGCGTTGGCTCTTGCACAGGGATCACTTCTGTAGCTGTGAGTCGTGGTGTGCCAGCCCCTCCTGTGTGACGTTGCTTTATGCTGCAGCAAAGCCGGGGTACAAGAGCTGAGGGGTTTGTGCTGTATCAGCATGCAGCCACCGTCTGTGTTTTAGGCCCCCTGCCGGTTGCAGCCTGAGCCTGACGCGAAGCCAGGAGTGTTGCAGTGTCACGTTGAGAGCGCTGCAGAGCTTTATTGCTGCCCTGGGTAGCATCCATGGTAGTTTTCTGTACTCTGCCTCAGCTGCCATCCTATAGAGAACCCGCTGTCGTGGGCAGAGCGCTGGCTCCTGAGGTGTCCCGAGGCTCATCCGCATGTATCAGCAGTGTGCAAGGGTGGGTGATGAAGCACATCCTTTTATGCAGCAGTTCTTTTTCCTGGGGAGTAGCAGGCACGTGAAGAACCTCTTCAACAGCCTATTGGAATTTCCCGAGAGAAATAACGTTCTGCTTTTATAGCCTGCCATAGAGCAGGAATGAAGGGAGAAGTGACGAAGGGTTTCCCATCATAGTTGTGTCTTTAAAGAATGGGGTTTGGCCATGGACTAGTAGGATAAATAGGATAATAGTAGGATAAAGTGATGATTTCTCCTGGCCTTCCGTCATTGGAGTCAAACGCTCTGGCTTACAGCTTCACTGCCAATGCAGGGAACATCTCTGTGGATGGACTGCCAGAAGTTTCCACCCCGATACGCTGAATCCCGCTGGATGGTGATTTCCTGTCAGGAGCTCGAGAGACCTGAGCCTGTTAACTGCTGGGCCGGCTCTCTTGGGAGCGAGGATACGAATGCAAGGCTCCAGTAGGGGTGCTGTATTAGCATTGTTCCTGAGAGCTGTGCTGATCCCTGGAAAAGGAGAGGCCTTAATGCTAGTCCATAAGCTTGTTCCTCAGGTGCCTTAGAGGAGTTTCATCTGCTGTGCCTTGGGACCCAGCAGCACCTTGGACGTATGGAGATGTGTCCCTTGTGAGGATCGTGATGCATGAGTGGATGGCTTCCTGGTGCTTGGCGGATGGCAAGACATCATCCCTGGCAAGGGGGTTTGTGTGCTGCACCCTCCTCTGATTAGCTTGTAAAGGAAGAAATGGCACGTGCCCAAAGCTCCTGCACTAGTTAACGAGTGCGTACAGAATGATCCCAGCAATCGGTGTGGTCTTGGTATGGAGCAAATCATGCCCCTAGGGACTTGACCACTCTGAGAAACTCCTTTAGAGTCCTCACTGTTTGAGATGCACCTTTGCGCTGTTCTCCAGGTTCTTGCTGAAGCTGTACTTTTTGGTGCAGTGGCAGCTCACCGTCGTGATGTTGAGTTTGGGTTATG